CAACTGTAGACGTTATTATCCCAAAATGTCCCGCACTCAGTCACATGGGTGTGAAAGACCGATGGCCGTGGGGCAAGTGCACATGGATACAGGTCTACTTGTCGGTCTCGTCCATCGTGAAAACGCTGAATGGGCGCGGATGGTTGAGTTGAAGTCAAATACGGCACACCACAGGGCAAGTTCACCGATCGATACATGGCGTGTTTCGGGCTGGATAGAACGAATACAGGCGTGCAAAAGCAAGACATGCATCATTACAGGGCCAGTGCGGTACAATTGTGGTGGCGCTTGGACAGGTCCGACCTGAGCAAGGAGTATTTAATAGGCGCTTAGTGTTATCCCGGCTAATGACAAAGGGGTTATTAGCAACGCTCTTATAGACTGACAATTACCTTCCAACAACCCAGCTTAGCGAAATAGACATTCCTTACAATTAGGCCTTGCACATATGAAATGTAACGATTTGAAAAAGGAGTGTTAAAAAGCTATGCCGAGTAAAGACTACTCGTTGCCGCATAGCCTATTCTCCCGTCACAGTCTCAAGCGTTTATTCCAGTATATTCACTGATGAGGCAATATTCCATTAGCATGAAACTGGGAAGGTGCATTTCTAGGTAATATCTAATCCTCGTGGATACTGAGATCCACGTATTCCACAAAGCGCGAAGCTAATTCGCTCGCAAAAGCGATTGAGAAATCGTGGGACCACAGCACACGCATGTAGGTTCCCACACATACTGTCCACCACAAGCCAGTTATCCCTGTGGTAACTTTGCTGACAAATATTGCCGCAAACTCCGATTGTCAAATTCGAAAGAGTCGATAAGCCACCCAGTAGCAAAGGGGCTAGCGGTTTCGGCTACTATTCCAATGGTCGCGAGTTTGAGGCCTGCTGTCTCCACCTGATGAGATGAGATGACATCGAAATGTGTCGTAATTGTGCGGTGTTTTCGGACGGGCAACACCCAATTTCCATCTGCTTCGACTAAGGTCACAGTGATCGTAATGACCAAGGTTCACTTTAATGTGAATCGCGGTCAACATTGAGATTGCGGGTCGCAATGTAATCACACGTGTAATTTAAAAGGGCCTTCCAAAGCGAAAGGTGCTTGTTAAACTAATTCCACAAGTAATTCCATCAGTCAGATAGAAGTTGGTGGAATTTCGGATGCATAATGGTGATCACTGCGTGCTTCAGGCTATCATGTGTATCACACAGATCGAACAGTAACTGGCCCCGATATGAAAGCGTTACCCGGAACATACGGCAGTGAGATTCGGGAGATAAAGATAAATCTCCGATTAATTGCTGAGTTGTTCACTATTTTAGGAACCCATTTGATGACGGCCACGACAAAACCCACCTCGGCAACACTTTTGTATTAAACGTTACCTGCTTCTGTCTAATGTGGTCCGTTGATTCGCATAGTTATCAGACAAAATCAAGGTCAGAACACCGATCTCGGACAGTATTGGGAAAGCTCACACTAACCACGAGCGTTGAGAAGCTATCTAGTGTAGTGATGGACGTTTGGTAGCTGAAACGAATTTCGTTTTAACCGTTGGGGATTATACACCCCTATTCTTTAAATTAATTTGTAATGCTACGGGTGGATTGGTGGTCCATGCGAGTAGTCGCACACGCATATCTAATGCTATCATTAGCCCGTCAGTCGTCTAATAATACTGATTGTCTACATCCACTGTGGTGTGGAGAATAAAATGTTGTTTGGCACACAATGGGGTCACAGATTCAATTACCCACTGGGTAGGAGGGAGGCGGTTGTCTGATAAGTTGTCAACGTTTTTTCATTGAGTTAATTCGTGACAAATATCATTCGCAAATTAATTCCTTCACATTTGCTATCATGCCGATGATTTGGCTTAAAGAACTCATTACTGAGGAAGTTTAAGAATGATTGAATTTCGTCAGTTAGAGTGTGGATACATACGACGCGGGGAGACGCGCAATCAGAGTAAATTTCGATAGTCGTGGAGCCCTTTGTGGAGGGATCCAACTATTATCCGCCGCTATTCCCCACAACGGCTACCGTGATGACTATGGCAGCTGGTAAAATGGGGCGATTCATGAAGTACCAGAAATGGAGAAGGATTCGCGCGCAATCCGACTGCCCCTTGCTAGGTTTCTATTCAGTCGAGATCGCCAGACAGTGCTTAGCGAACCAAGATTAGGTTCACACAATCAGAACAGCTAAGTGCGTACCAAAGCAGTATTAAGTTATTGTTAGGGTGCAATAGCAAACGTCGTACACACCGTAAAACAGAGATACGCGATTTTTGCGATGGATACCATATAGGGGTCGTTTGTAAGATGGACTTCTTAGAAGTAAGTAGGCAGCGTAGATCATCGTACAACGTTGATCCGTTGGAGCCGGCCCAAGTTTGAGTAGAACGCACATCATCGACGGTGAATTTAAGAAGTGAAGAACGACATCAAGAATGCATATATGATAGGAATATGGCAGCTATTATTAGTTTTGGCAGCATCCAGACGCGCTGATTCTGGAAAAGACAATAAAGGATGTGCTTTTTCGGATAAATTAACCTGTCTCTGAAGTATCGAGAAGTCCTACGAATACGATTAAAGCTAGGTATTAGTGGGTCAGCAGAATAGATGGGAGAGCACGAAGTAGGAAGTGTTTGTACAGAATAAAAGTTAGTGGGAGCGCGAGATCCATAATTCAGTCAGTTCACCCATGTGCTAGCATTTCACAGGAAGAAATGCGGGGCATTGAAAGCATAGAGTGACGCACAATGATTAAAGCAATTGATGAGTTAGACTGGAAGATGTGAGCGTTAGTGCCAAAATGCAAATTCTTGAAATTGTCTTACAGCCTATTGTTCAGGCAACCCAAACTGAGAAATGTTTTAACAGGTAGAAGCATGGATATACACCGGTGTAAAATCGAGGTCTTAGAGAGATTAGTTCGGGGATTAGATCGGCGCCAGTGTAGTGGATAACCTGGGGCAAGTGGGCACTATGTTTCAGCACTACATGATTCTAAGAATTTTTCAAATATTTTCGTTGCTTGAACCGTAGGCTTCAAGTGATTGGGCCACAGCGTCCATGAGAGTGAGCAAATGGTTTTATTATAGACTACTGAAGTACGTTTCAGTAACACGGTTATCTAACAAAAGGAACAACCAGAGTAACGGACGTATTCCGATGAGCAACTCGAAAACTCAGATGGACGGGGCCACAGTTTAGGTGAAAAGGACTAGAAAAGACAAGATCAAGTGATAACACACTAAAACGAAACAATGCGCCCAAGAAACGAGTAGTGTTATACGGGCCTACCAGGTGCAAGACCGATAACGAAATGTGCGAACGCAATTAATCGGTCTTCAGGATGTAACCAGCAATCTACACCACTAATTTTTCCTCCAAAAATAGTTCTCCATATTTTTGTTTTGATGGACGATCTAAGCGATTTTGTATATAATTCCTGTCTCATGCAGCAGTTTCCAAATGTCGGTTGTCGGAATGCAGCATATATGCTTGTTAGTTTACGTCAACTATACGGGCAACAAAGTTTGCTGGTTGATAATCACTCATGAGAAACCCCCGTTGGCACCACTTGCATCTAATACTAAAGATCACTACACTGCTGTCACACACAAATTTGTATTGTAGTACTTCTATATCAAATGCGATTCCACCAACTGATATAAGATTATTTTTATAAAGAAACAGGACATTGTGCAAATTTTTCATCCAAAACATTGGGTAAATTTTCGCGTGGTAGATTCGTGGAATTCTACCTAAAGTAGTCTATGGAATTCAAAAGGCGCAACGATCAGAATTAGCAGCAGTGGATTGTGAAAAACTAATGGTGAGTATGGCAAATGAGAGGTAACGAAAATAGACGTTGCAACACTGTTCAAGAGGGATAGATCCAACATGTATCGTCAAAAAAGGTCCACATGTAACGGGATCCGCTAATCACTGACTGTTTATGGCTAGCATAAAGTTGTGGACAGGCTTTTGTGCGTAGTGTGGATAGGTAGTGTCGTGCAACACTTCAGGAGTTAAAATAAAGTGTGAGTAAGAAACAAAATCTGCTATTTGTAAAGCATCATCATCATCATTACACGTTAGCTGGAGGTGGAAAACACCTCAACTATTGTGCCGCAATATTTGTAAAGCAAAGCGCTGTGTACACTGCACATATGTAAGGAGCGAGATTTGGTTCTGCTGGCTTCACACTGGTTACTTTGCGTCTTCGTATATCCCGCCATGTACCTGAGCTTGATTGGTTCGTACCACAGAGAGAGGGACTAGTATGAAGCCCCCAAGACGCACATATAAAGGAAACCAGATAAGCAAAAACAGTAAAGTGCAACTACCGAGATGGAAGTCACTGACTAGCGACAAGTCGTAAAGAGAAGGTAGCAGTATTGGTTTACAGGCCAGTTGAAAACAATATTCACATCCATTACGAGAAGAGTTCGTGATACAGTTCCAAAGGATTTCAAACCAAAATGCTGAACTCAAGAACCAAGTTGTTGTAGTTGCGGTGCCTAACACCTGGACGAGAAAAGACTCCGAACAGTAGGTACAAATGGATCCCGGATAAGTAGAAAAAATGATAACTTTACAATTAGATGTAAAGAAGAAAGCAACATAAAGAACCCGTCAAAAATTTGCAAATAAGCAGAACATGATCGCCGACCGAAAAACCGAAGAAGACAGGTATCATGAGAGATGAGATTGACAAATGATCCACAGGCCGTGCGTTGTTCGAGAAAAACGAAGATTAGGGCGGCCTCGAGTTATTCTAGGCCACAAGCAACGCAGTACCAATAGAGGTGCATAAATAAGCTCCCCTGTTGACATTGTTGCATCCGGACACCATAATTGGTATACATGTACACATGGAAAATGTTGCTTTTCGGTTTGAGGTACACAATAAAAAACAGTGAGAGTAACTCCATTAGCAGGCAGGTTTAGTAACCTCCAAATAGGGGTCTTTCACGAGCTATTTACAAGCCACAAGCGCAAGGCAGCGCGGTGACAATTGGGGGTCAAATAGACGTACCAGTCCAGAAAATTTTAGGTTGACTTCTTCGCGAATGTATAATAGGCGATCGAGCAGAATCGTAAGTTCCAAAAGTGGTTGGACAAGCTGTTGTATGGCCAGTAGGCCTGGAGTGGCCAACCAAAGCTGATGCAAACCATTGATTACAGAATCCGAAACATTAGACATCAGTTCACAACCACAATGACGAGTCAGACATTGGAAAAGTACGGAATAGATTTGTCCGAAGGACATTGCACAACCAGTGTCAAGAATGGCAGCGACCTCAGTAGACGAGGTTGGATCAAAGCGTTGTTGGCGTCGTCTGGGAAGTGTGGTATGCTTAGCCGGACAACACACAGACTGCATAAGCCGATAGATGAATCGTATTCTGTGCTTGTTGAAGTCGTAATCAGTCCAATGAAGCCACATTTCAGGAGACCACTGGCATGCCAAACGGAAAGCAGCTTTTGTGAGAAATTGGTCGAGAAGTACAGCGCTCCTTGCCGAACGCAACGCAGTGCTGGCGGGAAACTGAAAAATATAGGCAAAAGCAGAGAATACAGTTGACCGCTGACCATATGGTTACATCGAAGTTACAGAGAAAAGCTTGAAAAATTCCACGAAGAGATCCAAGTAGGACGATAGGGTAACTGGATTGTGCAAGTCATAAGTGATGAGAAAAAGAGAAATCGGTAGATTTAATGGGTGGTATACAAAAGAAGAATGACACATGGAAACAACGATCTCACAGTATCCAGTGACCTCTAGCGAACGATTACAAAGTGATTCCCCATCTCCGTAAAAAAATCCAGTCTTGAACTAGAATAACTAGGGGCAAGAGTAACCTAGTGGTTAGGCAACCATAGTTCAGTTGTAATATCACGGGTTTCCCATATTCAAAGCAAGAGCTGCCAGCGTGTTTCAAAGGACAATGAGTGTAAATCAAGGTATTTACCTCATCATACGTGACTCCAAACCAGTCACATGTATCCCGATCCTGTGGGTCACCGGTCGTCGAGTAGGGAATTGGTAGAAAATATATAAGGAACATTATTCCACATGGTTAGATGCTTGCACAGAATCGCCCAGATAAACAATCAGTAACAGGAATATCCTCTGATGTAAGCACCAGCTTTGCCTTAGTCAATCGCATATGTTTGTGACTGTTTCTCCTCGAAATGTTACAGGAAAAGTTCCTTTGATTCAATAAACAGTATACCATGTTTACCCTAGTTGTAAGGATGGTCCGCGGTAACCCGACAAGTAGGATCACCACAAGTGGTGTTCCCAGGTTTGTCCGGTGTTCCCATTCTCTTCAACATTGCGATGGAAGTGATCGCAAAAAACGGATTTGAGCATTTCATCCGGAGCAGATGTACTGCGAAGCGACCGATTAACACTTCTCTGTTGATCGGACGCGGTCGATATACAGGTGATTCCAGACAAACTGGTTGGTGCACGTCGATGCGCGCTTCCAAGTGTGTTTCGAATCCTTAAAACCCTAGGTATCGCTTCCGTACTGGTACACGAGCATCTACTGGCACAGAAACATCAGTAGAAGTACCTAATCAAACTGGTTATCCAGGCAACGACATCACATACGGTGGTCGAATCATTGAGGAGGCTTCCGAACGCATCGATAAGGCATTAATCGCACAAGCTGATGGTGACGAACCGGTTCACCGGTAAAACGCAGGGTATGAGGTACTGCGATATCGCTAATGGTTCGCCAACAATAAGTGTTGCCAATGAGTGCCGAGGACATGAGGAGATTTGTTATGCGAGAACATTAGTGATTGCGGAATCTCATTTATGTCTAGTGAGATCAAGTAAGTGGTATAGCTGCCGATATATGGTGTCAAATGCTACGGCGATACACTGAAACATCTGTTGAACCACTCTCATCGGTTACAGGACGTCCCATGAGTTCACCAACCGGGCACTTTGACGTGCATAGCGCATCAATAATGCCTCTTGGAAAATGATCGTATGACGTTTCAAAGACTCCGTAAGTTAAGACAGCGCAAGATATTTGGGCATACTGATAAGAAAAAGTGTTAAGAAACTGTGGTTCGACCAGTGTTACCGGATATGTGTACTTTGGAACAAAATATAGCATAAAATATTGTTTGGTTGGTAGACTTGGACGTTAAGAGACAAGCATGGTTCGGCCACTGTTGCATGGACAGTACTGTTCACCTCTGATGAGAGAACTGCGCAAGTTATCCGAACGTTCATCATCTGGCAGGTAGCGACAGTCCTTCTAGTACCTCATTGGAGCACTCGTTGGGCCCAAGACATCTCAGGTAGCTCTATGATATGCTACCCATGACATCTAGTTGGATGAAACCTAAGTAGGTTAGGCAATGCCATCAGAAAACTTGCCGACAGACTTGTTCTGGCTGATGCTTGCCGTCTTCCTGGATGGAAACTTCAGAGTGGACCATATCAGTGGTTGAGCATATTATACAATAGGATGCAACCACAAAGTCAATGGAGTTCTTGCATTCGTTCCCTTATTGCTAACCCCAAGCTACTTCGTCCAGTGAGCCCAGTCTTCGCCTATTTCTCTTAAATAACGGCAAGTATAATTAGTTTGGTGACAGAAGTCAAGGCAAGTTGATACATCAGACATCAGTGTAGGAATCTCGGCTGACGAACTGAAATGCCCCTACTGGTTGAAACTCCGAGGTAGTCAATAGATAATTCGAAACGGAAGGAATGAAAGAATGTCTGAAAGTCTCGGATGAGCAGATTAGTGTCACCTCGCGGGATGGAGAGACCACTGGATCGATCGCATGAATGGTCAGTAATCCCATGGGCATGATGCTGTCACCAAGACAGCAGTGCCTTAGTGTTTGATGGGTCGCATGCAAATGTCAACCTCTCCACAAGATATTCACGACAAGTCTTGTTCTCACCGTTTTCCCGTAGTGTTCCTTGTACCTAATACCTCGTCTCCTGTTGTCGTCAATTTCATCATGATGCGGCTGCGAGTAATGGTGGTGGGATTTTGCGTATCTGCATGATAAAATCGGAGGTGTTTTAGCGAACTGATTAAGCGGAGGGAAGACGTTAGATCCACAACTAAGAACTGAAAAATGCATTAGCAGTACGCTGGTACGCCGCACCAACGCTTCGCTGCCGCGCGACTATTACAGTGAGATCGCCTGCACCTACGCGGAGCCGAACCGGTGGCCTCCGAATTACAGGACAAGCGTGTGATTTTTTTGGCCACTGGCCAACAGGAACCGAGGAAAAGGAAAAGAATGCCAATTTCCATAAAACAGAAGATTCGTAGAGAGTATGAGAAAAAACAAAGGAGAAATCGGCGGCTTTTCAAACCGACATTCTACTGCTGGACACCAAAACAAGCCACAAAGCCACATGCCGGCGGAACGGACTATCTCGTAACTTTAGTAGGTATCAAGTGTGCCACGGCTCCAAGATGGCGACAAGATGAGACGGCAAACATGTAATGGAAACAGCAATGGCGTTACTCTGCGTTGTTTAACGAGTAGAGACAACGGGGTCAGCACCAAGAGTGGTTTAGAGGTGGCATACGCCGACCTGTCCGGTGAATACGGTTATCATGCACACCAAAGAAACAATAAATGGTGAACGAACTGACTAGGTGTGTGGTCAGTTTACGAGAAAAACCCAAATGATAAGTAAAATCGGTGGTGGCTAGCCAGCGTTTAAGACACATCAACACACGACCAAATGAGGTGTAGAGATGTGGTGGAAACCTCTCCAGGGACTACCCAGCGTGGAAGTAGACCCCAAGGAGATAGTGCTAGGGGTGACGGTTTTGCCCCATTTTAGCTGTTTTACTTTACTTCTCACTTTCCTTTGAATCTGTTGTGATTTTTATTCCTGATAAATTCATTTCTACCTTCCTACTGACTTACGGATATCATCCATAAAGGTACTTGATTACATTTGCAGTGTCAGCCATCTGTATAATTTCCTAATCACCTTGTGTTCGATATTTTGTACCAGACTATAATTCGCTAATCACGCCTTGATGGGCGTGTCTAGCGTTGCAGAGAATAAACATTCATATATTTCCTTCCGCAATTGCACCATTAACTTGTCCGTTGCACGGCTACGCAAGCCATAAATCTCCACCTCTAAGTGAAGGCTGTTAGGAAAGCCATTGAGACAACCTAGCCTCTCAAACATTCCGTCGGACACAACACGCTTTGCTTGATTAGGTCAATCCGATATCTAGATCAAGGAATGTCTAGGCACCTCATTTTTCCTTAACTTCCCTTTATGTGCATAAAAGCTTACATAACTCGGCTAACGCAACTGAAGCTTTGAAGATTAATATGGAGCAATGTTGATGTATTAATACTAGCTTTCTCTTTCTTTGTGTATCGGAGTAAAATTGCACCAAGTATAGAGTTTCTGCTAATTAAAATAAATCGGCCTGTACTACTCTAGTCTGTTATATACGATTGTGTAGTATTCGTCTGAGTTTGGTTGATGACTCCAAATGCTTCATTCCCTCTCACATTCCTTCTCCTCTCATGAACTCGCCGCCTACATGGTGTCCCCAATTTGTGCCGGAACTAAACAAGAGAATGCCCATGAACTGGTAGGAAACGACAGTGAAAGCCCAAAATGAACATCATCACAAAACCATTCCTGCACAAAACCCAACTATTTACAGCCCTGAATACGCGAGCATACTGCACATGTAAATACGACACGTCCCTTTGTGGGCATGGTTTCTCGATATCACGAGGAATATACATTACTAATATTATTATAACTATGGAATTGGTTCCTGCGATCCAAACACCAAGCGTTTTGGTGCTAATATCGGTTTAACTCTTCTTGTACTATCTGAGTCTTCTTACTCACGTGCAATTCCGGTTAGCGCATCAGCGCTTGGTAAAAGAGCTACCAAACGTGGTACAAATAGCATATGAACCGCTCATTTTGATTCATAGATATGGTGTGCTCAGGTAGGGTCAGATGAGTTCATAAATGAGAAACTTCGCCTAATGGAGCATTGTTCATGTGTAAATTAGACAAAACAACCGCTAGCAATTCGACGTTGATGAAGAGATCATGTTGTTTGAAATACCATTTTATTCGGGAAGGTTTTCGATTCTCCTGGACAGTACTTTCCCCTACACATTTACCGGCTGTTGGTCAACATGATGATGAAGTAGGGCAAACGAATCTAACACGCACCGATGCTCTGAATGGAGCTGAAGAACTGAGCAAAGCTGGTATTAGATATGCAGACTGCGAGATGTTTAGATACCACAGACAGCAAGAAAGCCAATTCCCCGGCTGTAAAATGGACAGTGGAATCGGATACGGTTACAAATTGGAGCGGAGAGAGATAATGAATAGAGACATGCACCAATTGTCTAAGCATTGTTAAAATGCAAAAATGCAGCCATCAGATAAAATTGCAAAATAGACAGAGTATGAGACAAGTAATGGATTAGGTGTCTCTGGTACAGATTGCAGCAGGAAATCAGCCGGGCATCACTAGTTAATATAGCTATATATTGGGTCGTTAAACCACGTCAAATGATCCACTCACTTCTTTGAGCGCCATTTTGTGGTAACAACATCCGACCAGGATGAGACGTCGCGCTGCTGGGTCGACTCGAAAGAGGTGGAGAGTAGCACGGCTGAGGTCACCACAGCAATGCAGCCCGGAGAGCAGATAGGCGCCAGAATCAGTCGACTTGGAAGCCCCGCAGGGGAGGGATTGAACAAATGCGTTCAATCTGGAAAGTGGAATGCATAGGAATGAACATTATCGGATAAATGGGTTTCATCCCAAGCACATGATTGAGTTAGTGAAAAAACGAAAGGGATAAGAGCTTGATGCGTGCAGTGGTGTAGTGGTATCGTTTTCTGATATCGCGATCTTATATAGGTTTAGCAAGTAGTTGGAGATTTTAAGCAACCCGGGTAAAATTAGACCGCTGATCTTAGACCACCATAACCCTGGAAAATGAGTAAATGCGGAAAAGAAAACAACAGCAACTGTAAGCATATGGCTGGTATAAAGCAAAGTAGGGTTGACAGACAACGAACACAAATAGAGGAGTGAGATATCCAGTCAGAGGGAGACAGCATTCGCGAGAACGTTACTTTGTAGTGCACGCAGACCGACTTGTCAGTTAAGGAACTTGTAACAGATATAAAAGTGTACTTATCGGGTTGCATCCAAGCAACTAACAAGCAAAGCAATGTGAGATCGGCCAGTTGGGCTAACCGGTGTGACTTCAGGCAACAAAAGCCTATGCGACATCAAACACATAGCCGGTTCGTTAATACCACAAAGACGTCTGTGTTAGGTGATTTGTTTACGAACGTTCCAACATCAGGATGAGGGAAAACACGGGCACATATTACTCGTCGAAGGCATGGAGTGATGATGTGTCGATTGGATGGGATTTGCTTTGTGAACTTAACGTCTCCATAGGTCTAAATTACCGTCTTAATTCTCAAATAACGTGGTTCCTTTAAAGTAAAGCTAGTGGTACGCGACCTCTACCGCTAACGAGAAGAGTGCTGTTTAGGGACAACTGTGAGTGGATACGCCATACTATTCCAACTCTTTGGGACTTCTGCCCAAACTGACCACTATCAAAACTTCTGTAAGTTTAGGGTATGTTTGTGTCAATATTTTTGTCGGCCGGATTCGGTTTCCATCGAAAGGTTGCAATCCGTTGATGTAAGACAGAAGGGTCATTTTCTTATTCGCCAGATTTGGAATCTGTGAATACGGTGGTGTCATTGCAAGCGTCAAGCAAGACGAGATTTGAATAAGCATTTCGACCATTTACGTGGCCACTGCAGAGCAACTGCCACGAAAGTTCGGAATTTGATCTGTATTCACTGAAGTCCAACGTACAGTAAATGACCATCGACATGTACCTCGACGGGGATAGTAGGAAATGATGACACAAAAGAAGTCTCTTCCTCTCCGGTAGGACAAGACACAGCTTAAAGTCTTCAGCTTCACGTGTTCAATAATGAATAAAGATATTGTCTAATTGACGAAGTATTGGCATTATGATCGGGAAGGGGACAAGTACTACTTACTCTATCGATACGAAAAACAGCGAATGTATCGTCTTGCCAATGATGTGTCCGAGTTTTAGTCGGTGAAACTGAACTATAATGCGGAGAAAAGATGCGATACTATGAACCGATTGAAAGTGTGTACAGCAAGCTAAAGGTGTAGAGACCACTACAAACCAACAAGTGAATAGAGTTAGTGTTTCTTTAGGTATGTGACATCAGTTGAGGTAAAAAGTCAACTCGCCCATCTACATTTGACCGTCAAGCGGAGTTCGCAAAGGTAGCGTTCAGATCAAGCAAAGTGAGCGGTCTGAGTCCATGAACCCATGCTTTGTTTGATTGCGCAATGATTATGGTAGTCTAGTTTGATGATGGCTTTAGCATACTAATCCAGGCAGTTATCACATCGGCGGTGGGGTGCACTGTGTGTGTGTGGGTAGGTGGGTGGGTAAAATGGTACTCCCAAAGATGGAAACTGAGGCCTCCGCGACGATGCCAGACCGGAACAGAGATTCGGTTTGAAGACACGCGACTCAGTCACAAACCCATTCGCAGTGGTTACGCTGTCTCAGCAGCATTCTGAAGTGATACAGACGTTGAGCGCGTCAAGGTCATGCTACACTACCTAGCCTGTGGAGCTACATTGTGCGCGCTAGTGCGTGAGTGTTCATCTCCTGACTAACCAGCGATGCTTATTGATCGGTTCAAAAGCGAGTGCTTAGCTATAACATGTGAACTGCGTAAAACTAAATAGTTGATCTTGTACCCAGTGTGGACTGCCGATGTACTATTGCCATTGCTTCTACTAAACTTCCATTGGCAATACTGTTGTTCTGATTTCGGTTGAGTGTAACAATTTGGCGACGGAGGCTATTCTGATTGCTCATGGCAAATTCAATAACGGCACCCCAACCCTTTTGGAATTCTTCTACTGAGATGCCTACTGCGCAACAATGGTTGCAGTGGAAAACTACATTTACTAACTACGTTGATTTGCTTTTCCTCCTTGCCGGAAATTGCACGATTGATGATGCAGCGAAAATTAAATTACTACGCCACCATCTCGGCATCGAGGGCCAGCGACATTTCGACAGTTTACAATTACATACGAAGCGAGACTTAAAAACTGTGTTCTATTCCCTGGACCGAATATGGGAGGAAAAGCCCCATGTGTTTATTGCTCGGTATAAATTCTGCACTATGCGACAACAGCCAAATGAGACTGTAAGTGAGTTTATCTCTCGTCTCCTTACTGCTCTCCCTGACTGCGCCTATGATCAGATCCTTCCAGCCCAGTTCGAATAAGCGATGCTGTTACAAGCATTAATCGTGGGTGTTTTCGATGAGAAGGCATGAGAACGTCTGCTCTCCGAAGATGAAACGCTACTGACGTGGGAAAAAGCATGTGATATAGTCCGACAGCGTGCCAACCTCGTCCAGGAACTAGCCACATTTCCCTCTTCAAATCAATCAATCTCACATGACGTAAACAAGGTCTGCCAGACTAAGAGTGGACATGCCTTACCTTGCCTCGTACAGCTCAAGGAATTCCGTTGTTACCGCTGCGCGGAGAATTACCTGTCCCCGACTGACTGTCCGCACATTCATTCATTGTGCAACATTTGTGGAACAATGGGTCATATTCAGAAAGTGTGTCTCTCCAAGCGGAAATCACTCGTCCAGGAACAACCTAAGGCTACGAACTGCATTACCGATGAATTGCGCCACCATTGAATTAGCACCACAACCGTTTTTAATCGCACCATTACAGCAAAATACCGTTTATCGTATTCGTCCAAGTAAACGAACAACCGGTAGAGTTTGAAATTGATACCGGTTCCGCAGTCACTTTGATCCGACCAGACGCTTTATCCCAATTTCCAAAGCTGTGTCCACCGAACATACAGTTCCGATCTTACACGGGACAGATGGTGAATGTGCTTGGTACCTTCAATGCACGCATTTCTTATCGTAATTCAACGAGTCATATGTGTGTGTAGGTTCCTGGAGGACCGGGTCCGAACATCCTGGACCGCGATGGAATTAAGCGCCTTCTTGGCATAATGTCGAACGTCAACCTGGTGAAAGACAATCCGCAGTTATCCGAGATTCTGCAGAAGCATGCAGTCTTATTTGATCAGTCGAGATCAGGACTTTAAAGAATTACAGTGCACATCTGGTATTGAAACCACAGACAAAACCGCGGTTCTGGAAAGCTCGCACTGTTCCCTATGCCCTCCGCGATAAGGTCGAAAGTGAACTGCGCCGACTCCAGTTGGTAGGTACCGTTGAACCCGTCCAGTATTCAGACTGGGCAGCCCCCATTGTGCCAGTATTGAAGAGCGATGGTACGATAAGAATCTGTGAGGATTACTAGGTTACGATAAACCAAGCGTTAGAATTAGACCGATATCCGCTACCAAAGATTGAAGACATTTACGCTTCCCTTTCCTGTGGTGATCTATTTACAAAATTAGATCTGAGTCACGCCTATCAACAAATTGAACTCGATGAGGAATCACGCACGTACACCACCATTAGCACTCATCTCGGATTATTCCGCTATATACGCATGCCTTTTGGAATAAGCTCGGTGCCATCTATTTTTCAACGTATTATTGACTAACTCGTGAAAGATATACCAAACACATGTGCGTACTCAGATGACATTTTAATTACTGGACGAACTACCGCCGAGCATTTACATGCATTGGACGTCGTCATGAAACGACTATCGGATGCCGGTTTGGTTCTAAAAGTGTGGGTTCCTTGTTCCGAGTGTACAGTATCTTGGCTATCGGTTGTCACGTGAAGGATTGTGCCCACTGGAAGAAAAGACAAAGGCGCTACTTGAGGCACCAGCACCCAAAAATGTTCATGAATTGCGGTCGTTCCTTGGTGTTGTCACTCAGTTTTTCAGGTTTATACCATCGGCAGCAACTCATCTGCATCCGCTTCACAAGCTGCTACGTAAAAACCAAAGTTGGAATTGGAACAATACTCATGAAAATGCATTCAAAGCGGTCAAGAAGCTCTTAGCATCTACAGATGTTCTTGTGCATTATGATCCGCAGAAGCCAGTTGTTCTTTCTTGTGACGCCTCACCTTACGGTCTCGGAGCTGTTTTAATGCACAAATTACCGAATGGCTCTCAAGGTCCCATTGCTTATGCTTCAAGAACCCTGACACCAGCTAAACGGAACTACTCTCAACTTGATCGAGAGGTAGCCGCTGTCATCTTCGGCACCACTCGATTTCACGATTATTTACTCGGGCGACCTTTCGTGATCCATACGGATCATAAACCTCTTATTTTCCTCCTCGGCCACGAGAAAGGCATCCAACAAATGGCTTCACCTAGAATGGTACGTTGGTCGCTTATTCTCTCTGCGTATACATACGAAATTCAGTACGTTCCAGGCAAACAGAATACCACCGCTGATGTTCTTATCCGGCTTCCCTTACCAGAGACACCATCGAAAGAATTTATCCCATAAGAGCTCGTAAACCTGGTCCAGCATTTTAATGATTCCCCAGTGACATATACAGACATACGTCAGGAAACTGACAGAGATTCTGTTCTGTCGTTGATCAAATGCCATGTCCAAGTTGGGTGGCCGGACAACACCCCCAAATAACTTATGCCCTTCCGGAACAGGATGTCTGAACTCAGCCTCCAGAATGGATGTGGAGCGCATGAGTTATTGTCCCCAAGAAATTTCGGTCACGTATCCTTGACGAACTACATGATGCGCATCCAGGTGTCGCAAAGACGAAGTCGTTAGCCTGAATTAGACCGTGATATTGTGGCGAAGGTTGGAAGTTGCAGACCTTACCAGGAGATCCGAAACGCCGCTCCTCATGCGCCAATGCAGCCTTGGAAGTGGCCAGAAACACCCTGGAAACGAGTCCACGTAGACTATTTCGGTCCCTACGAAGGTCGGATGATTTTGCTAATCATCGATGCCCATTCTAAATGGATTGATGCCCATATTCTTGTTTCAACAAATTCAGCTGGTACTATAGAGAAACTACGCACAACGTTCGCAACATTTGGCTCCCACCATGAAGTACCATACATTATTACAAAAAGCTGGAAATTCCATTACTCAAATCACCAGCTGAAGGTTACTTTTAGGCCAAACGAGTTGTGTGCCTTGTGGTGGTCACAGTGCCATTTATGAATCTTTGGTCGTGGGTGGAGATAAGGGTTCGCTAGAGAGTGGTGAAAACATGAGCAAATTTAGGCATCATAAACTCACTTGGTCTTGAATTGAAGTACATTGGTTGGGTCCAGACGGAACAGGAGTCGATGGACACAGCGCTCCAATGAACAACAAAAAGGTGCAGTGGGTGCTCGTCGCGTTCGAAGTGAGCATTCTGCTTTGCGATGCAAGGACTCATCGCAATCCACAGCAATCACATGAAGGGGCGCACAGGTTGAGTGGTCGGCACACACTGTAGCAGCATGTGGTGTGCATTTACTAGCCACGGAATTCGGTAAATGTCCCAGACCAGAACCAATGTCGACAAGCAATCGAAGTCGGGACAATTCGGAGACAGGCTCAGCATCATCTGGAACAGAGAAATGGTTGTGGTGTACACTAGATGGGAGAAAAATAAAGCACCAAGGAGCGTCTGAAGAGAAACAGACATTCCTCAAATCTATCAAATACCGGCTATCCGGTTCTAACCTACTGGAACTGGACAAGATTTGAGGGATGTCACAGTTGATTTCACTTATTTAATTTCGTAGTTGTGAGAAAGGAGTACGGTATCGCTAAATAAATTATCTTGTGGACAAATGAGAGCTACTGAGATAAACTATCAGTAATCTCGACTAATTAAGATTACATGCATTCCATTGGACGGCAGTTTAGAGCACTCGATATGACCAAAGTACTTCACAGCGTGCCTAAATCAGTGGTTCTCAACCTGGTGGTAATTACCCCCAGGGGTAGAATGGAATTTAAGGGGAATTTGGTCATAAATATTGCCAAACAAAATTAAGAGCGAAATCATCTGTATCAAAACATGTAACTAACTAGCTAATCACTATTGATTAACCGTTAGTGACTAATCATTAGTGAGTGGTCAGTAAATTAGACAATTTCGGTAATAAATTTTACAACCTTAAATACGAGTACAAGCTTGCAAAGCAGCGCAGTCAGATGGTGCCTCTATCGGCTCGCTTGTCGATCGTTGTTCTCTTGACTCAGGTACTCTTTCACTGGGTCGAATTACAGAGTATAGTGAACACTAACGTGGGAACATAGGTCAGCCGACCAAGTAAAGGAGCGGGCGAATGTTTACCAGGTAGAAGAAAACAGGCGACTAATGTTAAGGGAGAAACGATCCAGAGCGGTGGTGGGAAGCTGTCATCCAGGAAGGGATGATTGAAACAAATGAGAAGCCACTGACATCTGTTGCTGTTTGATCAGGAATGACAGCAAAGCGCGACTTACGATGTGCATTAGCCGAAACCACACCAAATATACCAGAAATTGTCAGAAAAAAGCAATATTAACCGTCTCATTGACGTATATCACAACTTGATTTAATTAAGAATTGCTCAAAAATAGATGTTTTCTTTATTTGAATGACCGAAAGTACTTAAAAAGAGTATTCATTTTCCGTAATTCAGAGCAAAAAATGCTGCTGGTAAATGGTTATAGTGAACCTGCTTTGTGGGTAACAACCTCAAAAAGGCTGAGAACCAGTGGCCTAGGTGAAAGTATGACCAACTGACGATAACTAAGAAAAGAGAGAGGACACGGTCACAAGAGCATTGCTAATCCTGTGAACTGGCGTGCAAACCGCAGCACTCTATAGATAACGTGGTGGGACAACGATCAAACAAAATCAGGAGGCTTCCGGTACACCAACACTGCATTCCAAGGGTAGGATCGAAGTTTTCCACTTCGGATGCGGTATTCGTGATCGAGGTTTACATCAAATCAAACGGTGGCCCAAACAGAAATTGTGGGTCTTAATCCAAACACACAGTGGGGGTTCCAAAACACGACAATGAAAAGCCAAAGGCATTCATAACGCCTGACCGCGAGTCATTTAGAGTACATGACGACGCAAAACATTCCACTGCGTACAGTATGCACAGCTGAAAATCGAATAATAAAGATTAGTATAAACTTCGACATGATGCTTCGCAACGCAACTGTTTCTCTAACGTCTGGTTTTGAGGAGAGAGTGCAACAAAAATAGCGAAGGAACGCGGAGAGAAAAGGTTTTGCTTAGAACAGGTTTATGTGAGGGCACCCAGGACTCAAATGGTAAAATGATAATAAGGGATTAAAGTGCTTATATTTTTAGGGGACAAGGCGACATCCATTTGACCACAGAAGTTGGTAGTCAACTACTAAAGCCGAGATAACATTCCGAAAATTGGTTGGGTCATGGGACAACGACTTGATCGAAAAATCTATACTGATGACGAAATGGTGAAGGCGCGTCTTTCCTTGTGGTGCGTGTTTAATCTCCGTGTTATCCGGTGAACTAGTTGCGCTCGCGTATCAATGGCTGGCGTGCACTGAGCGAAGATGAATAGGCGTCGGAACAACGGTGGCTCCCATTCGTAGACCACCAGACTTGCTCCTCTGCGCTTGAATTGAGAATAGAGTGTGCGATGGGAGTACTGCGGCTCAGTCGTAAACCCTTCCAGGAACAGGCCTCCAGTGCCTGCTCGCAGCCTCAGTGATAGAGACTGAGACTGTATTTAAGAGCAAGTAGAAAGGTTTCTGTACAACTCTATCGAATTACGAAAAATCAAAATTTACTTGTGAATTATGAGCAGTTGTGTCTGATCCGTTAATCGTTTATCCGTGTTCGGTTAGAAATTTGTACTAGCGTCATTATTTCCGGACATACAATGTCTTCTTTTGGCACTGTATGTGCATCGTTTCACAAATGCACAGGTTTCCAAAATAATCGTCGATACGGGTTTTAAAACACTTCACAGAATCGGCCTCTATTAATCCTTTTGGTAGTGTATTCCATAAGTTTACGATTCTTCGTTCGATACAAAGCTGATAGATGGAACAATATAATAATGGATTTATCACGGATGTAAAAGCAAACGCTTAACGGTTTTCCGTAGGCAAAGAATGAGATCAAGATGGATGTAACAAAAGAAAAATATGCGCAGTGGTGGAATTATCGCAAATTTCAAACGTACACATTATTTGGTTGCGTTGTCCCGTGTCCCAGTAAATTGGGTTAACGCATGTAATGCGAGTGGTGTATAATGCATCGTCAAGTCGAGTTTTGATTTCGGACAATGTAGCAGTGGAGATGACAAAATGCGGAAGTAAGTTCCAAGGTTGAGATACACGAAATGGAAAATGTTCCCTGGGCATTCCAAACGGCTGTACTGTGTCGCCAACTTCAAGTGTTGGCCTCTCAGTGAGATGTGGTTACGTTTCTAGAAGGATCGGTAAGGGTGGTTTCAGTCCTTGAGGATCTGATACACAAATACGACATCACCTCGCAAAAGACGATACTGTTCACTAAATCTCCAAGTCTTTAGTCCCAACCGATAAGGGAGGTGGGGCAATGCTTGCACATTTTGTCGCCCGCGCTTGTGGCTTCACAAGAGCAGCGAGGTCATCCTTTTGCCAGAGGTTTCAAGGGATAAATGGAGTATTCAACGTGTGGTCACAAGTAAGCGCTGAGCATTTGCGAAAAGAAGGTAGGATCAAACCTGTCAAACGCTCTCCACAATAGGCCCAAATGTTGGCTAGTATTGTGCACTGCTATCTCAGCCTGCTTTGAACAACCGAGATCGTCCTGCACGAGCACTCTGAGATCAGTTTCACGAGAAGCGCATTGCAGGACGTGTGCCCCCAGTCGATATTGGTAGGTGCTCTGGTGGCGTACGCTCATTATTTTACACTTGGCAGTGTTAAACTAAAGCAGGTTCAGGGTCGATCATTCGTAAGCCCTGTCGAGTCATATTGTAGTGCTATTTGGTCGTTTACTCGCTTGACTGCACGCCAAATCCTGTGGTCGTCCGCAATGGAAAGTTCAAGGGCAAAACTTCTGCAAGGTCGTTTATAAACGGAAGCAATAACTTTGGTCCTAGTGTCGAGTCTTGAGAGATGACACAATGAACTTCTATCAGTTTGGACAGGGTGCTGTGAACACGCACATTCAAGCGTCGTTGGAGTGTGAGTGAAGGAATCCAGTCTAGAATAGGATCACCGACTGTAGCTCCGATGCTTGTGAAGAAGAATCAGGTGATCAAGGCGATCAAATGCCTTGGAGAAGTCAAGGTAAGCGGCGTCGACTCCTTCCTTAGTCTCGAGGGATTCCGTCCAGATGGCACGGGCTAATAAAAGATTCGTGGTACCTGAGTGGTCTTAGCGGAATCTATGCTGCTCTTGCGAAATGATAATGGCACCTTTCTAAATATCCCAGAAATACAACTGCAACGACAGATTCCATAATCTTAGCAAGTACAGAAAGCAGGGTAATCGAGCAGTAGTTTGTTGGCACCGCACGATTCCCTCCATTGTAAATGGGGATGACTATTATACGCTTCCACACTGTTGGGACCTGCACCTGGTCGAGAGAGAGCTGGAAAAACTGAGATAATGGTACAGCCAACCTCGTGGCGTATGCTATCCGGACCAGGTGAACTGTACTCGTGAAGTGACATAAGTAGTTTCAGCACATCCGACGCTGTGAAGGATGTGGCTAAGTCCTAGTAGTATGATATGTCAGAATGATATGAGCCAGCGATGCGTTCTGGAAAGTATAAGGGAACTGGTGTCTAAGAGCATTATCTGCTCCTTGGGTAGTTCATGCTCGCTCACAGCCAGCGTTTAGAGGAGGGATGCCACGCTGTACTTTGCAAAGTTCGTTAACATACCTATAAAGTAGCTTAAGATTGTAGCGAACTTCTTTGTCAAATCTTGTTGGTATTTCAATTTATCTTCGCAGACCAGTTTGACACAGTGGCTTCGCTCAGTTATGTAAGCATGCCAGTTTCCGGCGTTTGGATCGGGTTTGTATGCTTTCCAAAGTGAATCTCTCAGGGCCATTTGTTTCCGCGCATTGTTTCTCAATAAGGACTTTAGTTTTTGAGCCAAGGGACTTAGCCTCTGATGCGTTTGTTACTAAAAAGTTGAGCTCAATGATGAAGTTTCCCCAAGCGACATCAGGGGGTTGTTCCGCTAGAAACGATCAATCAGTGATCTTAATGAGGTCGAATAAAATGTGATGTGTTATTATGGGGACCACTTCGATTTCCCGGTTGGACTGTTCAGCATAGCAGACGTAGTGGAAAAGCAGTGACGCATGATCACTACGCCCCAGGGGGCTACACAGTATCAGTGTGTTGACCATAAGTTCCTCATTGGTGAAGATGAGGTCCAAAATGGTCGGTTTATTCCTCGTTTTGGATCACCTAGGAGAAATAATGTGGTTATGGAGTGGGAGTCTAGCGACTAATTCTTGTGGTTCGATTTTAAACTCTCCACTAAGTGAGGCCGGAACATGTAGTGCGTACAAGTTGAAGTTACCTCCAAGGAGAGAATGAGAGCGTTGGCTTGAGCCAGGACGGTAGTTAGTGCAGAAGACAGACGGGTGTCAATTTGCAGAGTCCACATGGGCGAACGGAATAGGAAGGCAACTAAACATGTATCACCACGTCTAGGTTGCAGACTGCACCAAAGTGAGTCCACAACATAAAGCTCTGGGTCTTCAATGACTTAGAAACGTAGACCATGGCTTAACTGAAGATTAACACCTACCTTCGTCTTCACTGCATTTTTTAGAACTCCAGAATGTATGGAAAATAGTTAGCGTAAATCACATGCTGTAGTCAATAAGAAGGATTTCAGCTCTAATATTTCGCTTATCACCAAACAATTGCTCTTCAGCTTTAACCCAAGAAAAAGAAAACGGTTCCCTCTGTACACGGAGCTCACCATCAGCACACCATGAATCATATTTTGTCTATTCACGCTTTTGAACTAAATAACCATGAATGCTAAAAGCATGGTTTTTATTTTTGCCTATAAATATATGAAACAATGGTAAAAAGTTGATAATACCAAAATGGGCATGCCTCGAGAATATACATGCATAACGTAGGATGATATAGCAGATAGAGCGATCTCCGCCTCCTTGGTTCCATCATTCAACCAAGTCTCAGGTCCATAGAGATCGAGGCTTTGGATAATTTCTTGAAGAAGCTCTGAGCGTTTGGTATACACACAAAACAGTACTCCTAAAGTTAGAAGTATGAATGACAGCTGCGGGCTTTTGTCGAACCTTGCGAGGTCGGCAACTAATAGTTTCCATGGTGAACTGCTGAAAAGAAACTTTGAACCGCTTCATACTGGCTGGCAGAATGGTCACGGGATGAAGTTCCGATTTCAGTCAGTATTTGGAAATTCACCGCCTCTTCAACAGTCCATTGTGCTCCGCAATGCTCTGCTTCGTAAATAAGACATATTGGACTCCCTTGAATTTGCTCGCTCTCTCTCTCCCTCCATCTCGGTCATCTGAGGTCTAGTGTTGAACGCTTTTATTGGTAGAAATAAGGGAAGCTACCTACGCCATTTAAGCCACGTTTCAAGTGAACTTTTGCCATGTGTTTAGACTGGAGCACAACTTTCATCACCTTGGGGCCACTTCCCTTGTATGTTGAGGAAGAGGATCGTTTTACGATCGATTTGGCGATCACGTTGTCAAATGAGATTGCTTGACAGTGGTAGTGCCATTCCTCCCAATCATGGGCTTGCACTTCACTGTCATCAGATGCCTGAAACTCCGGTACACAAGGAATAAATAGCGACCTTTCGTTGTTCCAATGGTGGTTGCCATCAGGGTTCTGTATTCTTTGTTGGCGCGCGCTCTAAGGAACGTCGGAAAAAATCCAAATGTCGCATAAGTCAGTCCGAAGGTGGGCGGCTGATAAAGGAACCGCCTCAAAATCCTTTGCTGAATGTAGCGTCACACATTACAACTGTGATTCATCTTAATGGGTCGAGCTTAGATGCCATACAACGTGTACGATGCTAGTCAGTCAAGCTTGGACGCCTAAAAGTAGACATATGGAATCCCAGTGTTTTCGATCATCCAACAGCTTATCGTTTATGGAATTCGCATTAGATTTAGAAACACCGGTGTAAACGATCGTCAGTGGCTCATTTCCTCGTCTTGCAGTAACCGGTTTGTGAAGAAGTAGTATTTCAATCTTCGGTGGAGTGATAGGTGCATGTGTGGCACTTCTGGCGCACTGTGTGATCGCAACAGGTGTAGCCATAGAAGTTCCCCTTGTGTTTGGGCACCGGACGCACATGTAGTCACACCTACAGCAGTAGCCGATGTATTCGTGTGTCGGTACGGCATGCTCCCTGGAGTTGTTCTCATGAAATATCGAATGGATCAGAATGGGAGTCGCATGCATGACAATTGCACAAATTGGGGTGGTTCGTTAGCGTGTAGAACATTTTCTAAACTATTATATTGGAAGCATTATCATCATTCATCATCATCATACACGGTAGCTAGAGGTGTAAAAAACAACCAGTTACTGTGCCGCAATACATAAAAAGGAAAATAAATACAACAGTTGCATGGTAGCTGAGCTACCAGCAACGAATAGGCATCGTTCCGAAAAGCTAGCAGCCGGCTACTATGCAACAAGAAAAATTATTATGTAAAATTATATTGTGTTACGAAATGAGAACGTGTTTGGAGGGGGAGGCTAAAAGGGATGGGGAGGGACAAAGAAACTCATAGCAGGAATGTCACTGAGGTTGGCTTCTAGCCATATCAACAAGTTTGTCCAAGCAAACGTGTTCATCGTCTTTTGGACCCCAATCAGGGAGCCGTAAAGCTTCAACCGAGGCCAGCTCCAAAGTGAGGGCCTTCATTCCTCTGGACCAAGTCATCGCTTAGCCACCCCTCCTCTTCTTCCATCCACACCCCCGGTGAGTAAACAACGCACGTCGCGGGAGTCGGTGGGCTGGCATGCGCAACAGGTGACCGGGCCATAGGAGCCTAGTGCGTGAAATGACGGTGCTGAGCGGTTCATTTCCTTTTCTTGTGCCATAAACAAGGCGTCGGACGCACTCGTTGTTCACGCTGCGTTCCCACCAGATATGAGCCAAACTGCGAAGGCACCGACGAAGAAAGCGGAGGGACCAGATGATCTCCATCCAGAACACTTCAAATTCGAAGGCCCTGCTCTTGTTAATGATTTAGACGAATTATATTGACATAGTTTTCAGGAATGTGGGATACGTTCATGAATAGGGACCTGTCATCTGTACAGAATAGAATGAGGCGTAGTTGTGCAAACGGATTCGTAGAAAACAAAAATAGATCAGCTTCACGCAGATTCACAGAAATCGAAGTGCTCGTTAATTGAATGTACCGGATTGATTTGGTTTGTTCACAAGTGATGACCCGGAATTTTTCTTGATAGGCTCAATCTAGCACAGAAAGTAAACCGACAAGCAACCGGTAAGGAAGGTGGAGGTGCCGAACACACTAAATCTGATCTCAAAAGTGATTTACATCACTTTCTTTGAACGAGAACCTTACCAGTACACTTCACAAATACTTTTTATGATGCATCAAGATAGAAACAAAATCAAGGCTGCTTACCTAGTTCTAGCTGCGTGATCGCAGTCGACAGAGGCGATTCGGTACCGGAGATAGTAGCTCCTCTGTTACCGGCTGAGATTAAAGACGCCTTAGTCCCGAGCAACATGTAGTTTGCCAACTCAGCCATTATCGCCACCTCGTGCGATTTTTTCGGAGTCATGCCTAAGTGCTTAGGTTGAAACGTAGTTGGTTGCACACGGAAATAAGTGTCGCACGTGGTCTCATTCGAGACAAGACAGCTATCTTGCCCTGGCCTCAGGGAGTTTGGTGGAAGTTTTGTCAATTCGAACAACAATCGAGTGAATCTGCGGCAACTATCAGCGAAGGAGAGGAGATCTGAAGGACACAAAGTGCTGTGGGGTCCACCGATAACCAGCGTCTGATGAGAGAAAAAGGCCACGAAGAATCCACAATTAGGATGAAAGACAAGAGTCCTTGAGCAGGTCTTACGTGTTGTCCAAATGACGAAACTCACCTTCAAATCATCAAAAGAAGAAGTAACGAAAAAAATTTTCCATTCATTTGGGAGGTGGGAGAGAAATGGATGCCAAAATGTGCCAGCAAGCTTTGTGTACTGTGGATCAATCCAACGAAACGCGTAAATCCATGAACATTGAGATAGAAAATCGAATAGCTGGTCTACCAGTGGGGATAGTGATTCGGTCTATAGCCAGAAAAATAGAGATGAGATGTGGAATTTTAACATTACAAACATGAGTCCATGAACGAATGGTTGAAAATGGGAGCATAAATGGTAGCTAAAAGAGGCACATGCACTTCCAGACCCCATATGACCCACACTCAAACGATTTGGCTAGGAAAACTAGTGGAGTACACTTCAAGTCGGGTGATTACATCACTTCTGTGTTACCGCCCTTGTTGTAGCATAGAGTACAACACCGATGTAGCCGAGCATCGATGAGAACCGAATCGATAAATACCTCAAATGATTACACAAGGGTATAGCATTGAGGGGATCGTATTTGATCCTAAGCTGGTGATCAGAGTATCAGTTGTACAGGTAGTGACTGTGAGTACAACTTTGTTGCTGGGAAATGTTCTACAAGAAATTCCGTTCTGGAATGCATTCTTGTCAAAAATAACTGGAAATTGCTAAATAATTCACAGTGATAGACAACTCCATCGCAATGAGGCTAGACCTTACCGTGGTGCGATGGTTTGTGTGCTTCAGGGATCCATTGAGCTATACTGGGTGGTGCTTTTGCACCTTCAGAGTCACTCATACCAGATTAGTCAATGGTTAGAGGCCAGACAAACTCAGCCTCCTGGCCCTCCAGGTTGGGGGTTGGAATGAGGTTGGCTCCTTATTCCTTAAAACGGACTCCTTGTAGCCCAATGCCAAACCCGCTGCCTTGCGGACAGGTTTTTGAACCAAAGGCTTTGGTTGAGAACCCTAATCGTTCTCCTGTCTACGCATGGGCAATCTGACAGTATCCTGCCCACTCAATACAATGAATCGCACTTCAAACAAATCTCTGATGCTCTGGCCACCGCAGAGGATAATCAACGGTGCCCTATCTGCTGCACCGGGCAGGGTGGATAGGAGTTTGGATGCTACTGCTCAAGCCTTCCCATCTTCTTATTCACCTTCTTGCGCTTTTTCACCCTTATCGTCTCGTTCCAGCTTCACTTTTATCCCCCCTGTTTTCAACCCCCAAATTCTCGGCCCTCCCCCACCTTGCTTCAATAGTCGCTTGTCTTTTAGCTTCAACTCAAAGGTGAACGCAGAGCGTCATTCCTGCACTGTCAATAGGCCCATGTCCAAGCAAGCGGCCCATTCCAGTTCATCGGCTTCCATTTGGAGCCCTCGATCCTCCTTCAGACTGGCATGCCTCAATGTTCGCACATTGCTTCAGATCGGTCAACAGGCAGCACTTGCCCGAACATTGGAGACCCTCTCGATCGATATCTGCTGCTTATCGGAGACCCGCCTGCAAGACTCGAGCTCTATCCTCACTCGGCGATCTCCTTCAGGTGACACTAGCAGCACTTTCTCATTGCGCCTATCCGGTGACGATGAAGCTTCGAGCACCGGCCAAGCCGGTGTTGGTATTGCCCTGAGTACCCGGGCTGAAGCTGCTCTGGTTGATTGGATTCCAATCAGTAGCCGGATGTGTGCGGTCCGATTGACTGGCTCGTCCAAAGCTTCGAAGTCGCGTGGGACTAACAGGTGTCTATTTGTTATCGCTGCCTATGCACCGACAAACTCTAGCGGGAACTCGGTAAAAGACGACTTCTATCGCCAACTGAACGAGCTCCTTAGCCACAGAAGAAGTTCGGACACTGTAGTGCTGGCTGGGGATCTGAACGCTCAAGTTGGAAAATTATCCACAGATGAGCTGCATCTGGGCGGCTAAAATGGTATAGGCTCCCGTAATGATAACGGTGAGCGGTTACTTCATCTGTGTGAGGATGCTCGCTTATTTCTTGCGAGCACTAATTTCCGACACAGCACCCGCCGGAGGGTGACTTGGCGCCCACCAGCCTCGAACCAGCTATGGACGCAAATCGATCACATTGCTATCAGTTACGGATGGAGAGGCTGCGTCCAGAACTGTCGCTCGATTTGGAGCACAGTTGTGGACACCGATCATGCACTTGTATGTGCTGACATGCGGATGCGCTTTGGCGGACGTCCGCGACGATGTTGTGAGCGCATTGACACCGGCAAACTGGCGAAGCCAGCTGTTCTGAACGCCTATCAAAGTACGCTGTCATGCGAGTTGGATAAACGCTCACTGGATGCAATTGAACCTCACTGGTCTCATATGCAACAGGCCTTACTAGCAGCAGGCAAATCCTCATGTGGTATGTCTAATCGCCAACATGACATTGGGTCTTTTCACAGTCTTTGGAACTTATCGATGCACACCGGCATATTCCGGCTGGAAGCGAACACAATGAAACTCGCAAAGAGCTCCGGGCGAAACTCCGTGCTAGCCTGAAGAGAGACCGCGAATCCTGGTGGTCTCATCGTGCAACAAAGATGGAAATGGCCGCTGCCATTGGTAACCATCGTGAGTTATTCCATCTGATACGGGAAACGGGCAGCAGGAGACCTGGTGTTAGTGAAACTATACGTGACGAGAGTGGACAGCCTATCCACAACTTATCAAAACGCCTGGAACGTTGGGCTGAGCACTTTGAAAGGCAATTTAATCGGTCGGAATTGTTAGATTTCTCGCCGACCAGTGATCGCCCTGCTCCGTGGGCTGTTCCTTTGGATCCACACTCGCTCAGAAGTCGAACGTGAGATGGAACTGTTGAAGTTGAACAAAGCCGCGGGACCAGATTGTCTCCCTCCAGCCCTCTTCAAATTCGGGTGACCTGCTCTTGTGGATGATTTATACAAATTGCTAGTTAGACTGTGGGAACAGGAAACTATCCCAACAGATTGGAGCCGCTCCGTCATAGTCCCAATTTTCAAAGGAGGCTCACGATCGGAATGCGGCAACCATAGAGGAATCAGTCTGATCTCCATCGCCTCTAAATTGCTTGCCTCTGTCATCCTTCATAGACTGATTGGCACTCGTGAAAGCCAGATTCGCGAAGAGCAAGCCGGATTTCGCCGAGGTCGTAGCTGCATTGACCACATCTTCACTTTGCGTCAGTTGTTGGAGCACCGTCACATATATTGGCGGCCCACCGTTGTCGTGTTCCTCGATATCAAAGGTGCATTCGATTTGGTGGATAGACGTGCACTTTGGGACTGTCTACTCAGGAAAGGTGTACCTGAGAAATATGTGAATATTATCCGAGCATTATATGCGCGTAGATCGGGCAGAGTGAGGGCTTACGGCAAGTTGTCGTCGCCCCTTAATATCTCCAGCGGCGTGAGACAAGGATGCCCGCTGTCACCTTTCCTCTTCAACTTCGCTGTTGACGAAGTCATGGAAATCGCGTTCACAGGACACGACTTAGAATGTGTGGAGCTACTCCCAGGAGAACGACTTCTTGATTTAGAGTATGCTGATGATATTGCCCTGATCTGTGACAGCTCACAAACGTGCCAAGCGGCACTGGACAGATTAGCACTAGCTGTCTGTCACTTCGGGCTTTGCTTCGCACCCTCGAAGTGCAAAGCGTTTCTCCAAGATTGGTCTGGACCGCCTCCTACGCTCACCCTTGGTGGGGATCAGCTAGAAGTCGTTCAAAAATTCAACTACCTGGGAAGTTGTATCAGCGCCCGTGGGATTGAAGATGAAATCACGAATCGTATAGCAAAAGCTCGGGGCACTTTTGCTAACCTTCGCCACTTGTGGCGCCGGCGCGACATCACTCTCACCCTGAAGGGTAGAGTGTATAATGTATCAGTACGTTCGACTCTACTGTACGGTTGTGAAACCTGACCGCTTAAAGCAGCGGACCTGAAGAGGCTAGTTACGTTCGACCACCGGTGCCTTCGTAAGTTAGCTCACATCTGGTGGGAACACCGCGTGAGCAACGAGTGTGTTCGACGCCTCGTTTACGGCACAGGAAAAGGAACTGAACCGCTCAGCACCGTTATTTCACGCATCAGGCTCCGGTGACTCGGCCACGTGTTACGCATGCCAGCCCACCAACTCCCACGACGTGCGTTGTTTGCGTGCCGGGGGTGTGGATGGAAGAAGAGGAGCGGTGGCCAAGCGATAACTTGGTCCAGAGGAATGAAGGCCCTCACTTCTGAGCTGGCCTCAGTTGGAGCGTCTCGGTGTCCTGATTGGGGTCCGAAAGACGATCAACACGTTTGGTTGGACACACTTGCTGATATGTCTAGGAGCCGACCTCAGTGGCGTTCGTGCTGTGAGTTTATTTGTCCCATCCCATCCCTCTTAGCCTCCTCCTCCAACCACGATCTCACTAGTTAGCCTTATATAATTTTGCATAGTAATTTTTTTGGTGCATAGCAGCCGGCTGGTAGCTTACCGGAACGATGCCCATCCGTTACCGGTAGCTCAGCCGGCTTGCACCAGTTGCATATTTTTCTCCTTTTTTCTATGTATTGCAGCACAGTAGCTGAGGTGTTCCCCACCTCTAGCTAACGTGTATGATGAGGATGATATGATGATGATAGACAACTGGTCGGACAGTAGTCGCCTTCACAGTGTAACAAATGTGTGCGCTACGCGCTAGGGTGCCGTGTCATGTGTACGCGGCTACAAGCTCAGATGAGTAATTAATTCGTGGCGAAGAGCAACAGACAATGATGCAGCTCAAATTCGACTTAGTTTCGCTATTTGTTTCTTTCCCACTTATTTACGATGCAACATTTCATGTGGCGGGCTGATGATGATAGCTGAAATCGTAGGAAAGTGGGCCCACTCCGGTTGCTGAGGGTGGTTGAATCCATATGCAGTTCATTTTTCAGACTGAGACACTGGTAAACTTTGCAAAGTTGCGCCAGTAATACGGAGAACAATCACCGGACACCTAAAGCAGGGTGTGACAGAAGAAGCTGGACGTAGAAGGTGGATGGCCGGGGGTTCTTTAATGTAATCCGCAGCCTAAAGCAGGCAAGTAGGTGTACTAGAGTATCGTATCTGTCTAGTCCATCGTGACAGTCCGAGTAAAAGAACGGCGGTGGGAATTCGGAACAAAGTTGCCTTCGACTCCGTTGTCATTCAGCGCACACTTCACGATCAAGTAGCCGCACCCAGCAAAGAGTGAATTTATTCAACGACTATTATTAATGAATTGTAAATGCCTATGTGAACCAACATCTTTCCCATCAATGCTAAGAAAGGAAGGTGAAGCCGTCCTGCATGTGATTAAGTTGCTAACACCGTGCATGAGCAATTGCGTAGCATTGGAAGCGAAATGGCACTGAAGCATGCAGATAGAGAACGTTTGTGTTGCATTATGTTATGGTGGCTCGCCGATGCTAACTGGCGAACAACAGACAGGTTTTTACTTCGACAGATAGTGCACTGACGACAACTACTATCAGAAAAGTGCTAGAACATCATCACTTTTACAAACAACCTGGCATGGTAGCCTTCCTCGACATGACGGTTACCTTTGATTCCGTTGGTAGCACCAGTGACAGTGCCATGTTTAAAGGGCACAGCTGCGAAACTCCCCTCCATACGAACAGCACTAGTAGGCAGCTCTCCCCTGTGTTAACCGTGACAAGTTGATTAGTGCTGTTGCATTGCTCAATGCTTTCTATGGTTGAAATAATCAGAAGTAACTCGTTCTCATGCCTCATCCTGTTGCGGGCCCGTCAAAAATCCCCGCAAAAACGCGCCAGTAACTCCGGCATAATGGCTGTGGGAAGCGGAGTCCAACTTCTCCCCACAACGCAGCAGAGCTCAGCCACTCCGAGACGCGGCGACGACTAAGGCAACCTACCCAATCTATAACAGTGGCGACAGAGTTGACGAACCATGACCGACGAATATGCCGATTTAAAATTGATGCTGCAGCAACAGCTTAAATTGATGTCCGCGCTAACCGAAAAGCTTTCCAGTTCTTCCCTTCATGCAGGTCCGAGCGCCAATTCTCAGTCAGTGGACCAGGTGGTTAGCGGCATCAGCGAATTTCTGTACGACGCCAAGGCCGGGGTAACGTTCGAATCCTGGTACAAGCGGTACGAGGACCTGTTCACCGTTGACTTGGCTCGCCAGGACGACGCGTGGAAGGTCCGCCTGCTTCTGCGCAAACTTGGTACCCTCGAACACCAGCGTTACACCAATTTCATCTTGCCGAGGAACCCACGGGACGTTACCTTTGACGACACGGTCCGAACGTTGTCACAGATTTTTGGCGAGCAGTCCTCTCTGTTCAATGCTCGTTATCAATGTCTGCAGCTGATCAAACGTGATGCCGACGACTTCATCACGTACGCGGGCATGGTCAACCGTGAATGCCAACGTTTTCAACTTGGCTCGCTCACCGAGGACCAATTCAAATGCCTGGTCTTCGTCTCTGGCCTCCAATCTCCACATGATGCCGATATCCGGACGCGCCTCCTGTCCAAGCTACAACAGGATGGATCAGTCACACTCCAGAACCTGGCCGAGGAGTGTCAAACGCTGCTCAACCTGAAGCACGATTCTGCCATGATCCAGAACGCCGCCGCACCTGGTATGGTCCAGGCAGTCACAGCACCGAGGGCGCAATCGTCCGCGCGCCCCACCCAATCCGACCGAGCGAAGTCCCCACCCTACGCGTGCCGATTCTGTGGTGCCTGGCATTTCCACCGCGACTGCAAGTTCCGCCAGCATCGTTGTCAACGTTGTGACAGGGTGGGGCACCGGGATGGTTACTGCCATCCTCCATCTCCCAAGGGGGCCAAAACTGGGCTGGCCCCCACCCGCGATCCAAAGAAGAGGTCCCGACCCAGACGCACACCCAAACCTGGTCCGGTTGGCAGCTCCCTGAGCCTGCTGGCCACGTTCCAAATCAACGCTGCGGATCGGAGAAAGTTCGTCGACGTCTTGATCAATGGTCAGTCGGTCCGATTGCAGTTGGACACTGCGTCGGACATCACAATCATCTCCGAGGATCTCTGGCGATCCCTTGGCAAGCCACCTTTCGAACCGACCTCCCAATCTGCCACCAGCGCCTGTGGTGGCCGCGTGCAGCTAACTGGGCGACTGCACTGCTCCGTCTCCTTCCGAGACGTCACGTTCAACGCGAACTGCTACATCACAAAGGCGAAGCTCAACGTGCTTGGTCTCGACTGGCTCGAAACCCTTGGCTTGGCCGATCTTCCGCTTCGGGCCATCTGCAACGTGGTACATTCCCCGACAGTACCAAACGACCGAACCGACGACAAAGCCAGTCAATCCGCCCCCGTGTTCCAGGATTGTCAACAAGCCTCAAAGATGCCACCACACCAATCACCAGTTCCTTGGCATCCGCCAGCAAAACCGTGGTCTCGAGTGCACATCGATTACGCTGGTCCCATCGATGGCATTTCCTACCTGGTCATGGTCGACGCCTATTCCAAATGGCCGGAAGTGGTCGCCGTCAACCCACCAACCGCATCCGCCACTCTGGCTTGTCTCCAACGAATCTTCAGTCAACATGGACTTCCCGAGGTCTTGGTGTCCGACAATGGTACCCAGTTTACGTCTTCCGTCTTCGAGGACTTTTGCCGCCGACACTGCATCCAACACCTCCGCTCACCGCCTTACCATCCCCAATCCAGTGCTCAAGCGGAGCGATTTGTCGACACATTCAGGAGGGCGCTTTTGAAATCTCGCGGGGAGGGGACCGTAGATGAGTGTCTTCAGGCCTTCCTGCTCTCGTACCGGTCCACATCGAATCCAGCTACGCCAGGAGGCCAGTCACCAGCTGAAGCATTGATGGGCCGCAAGCTACGCACAACCAACGAAGCGCTCATTCCGACTGAGAAGCCACCTATTCACTCTGGTCCCTGCAACAAGCGCAAAGAATTCGTCGTTGGAGCCCCGGTCTACGCTCGAGATTACAGAGCAGGTCATCCTCGCTGGATCGAAGCAACAGTGGCGGCCAGGCGAGGTGACATGCTGCATGATGTCTCCGTTGGTAATGACATCTGGGTCCGCCATCGCAATCAACTTCGTCCGCGCCACGGAGAAACCTCCATGCCAGCCAGCTATCCCGTGCGCCTGCCGCTGCACATCCTGTTGGATACTTTCGGATTGGCCACACAACGACAGACCACGGTCGAAGCCGCTCAGTCGCCGCCGCATCTCGAGAACCCACCTAGCCGACGAACAGCAAGAATCCGGAGGTCACCGTAATACCTCCAGGTCAATCCTCGCCAGAAGCGGTACGATCTCTCTTCAAAGGGAGGTGTTGCCAAAAATCCCCGCAAAAACGCGCCAGTAACTCCGGCATAATGGCTGTGGGAAGCGGAGTCCGATTTCTCCCCACAACGCAGCAGTGTTCAGCCACTCCGAGGAGCGGCCCAAACTGCGCACCTTCTGACAATGCTCATTTGCAAACTATCACCTCTGCGTGGTGACTGTTTTCCCTAACTTAATAACCCATAGCACTATCTGTGATTGCCCTTTGTTGGTCGTAAAAGAGCCTACAGAGGACCACTTGTCTTTTCTTCCTCTTCGCCTCAGTTGGGAGTCGGTCGGATCGCGTGATTGCGTGTGCATCGTTAGCTGGCCAGCCCTCGCGTCTAAGTCATTAGCGCGCGTCTATCATACCCCCTCTCGTGTGCGTCCGTTTTCGAGGCCTCAGCGTCTATACGAACAAGTGCGGCTAAGATCGTTCCCACGCTCGTTCAATTTTCCGTCTCACCGGCTAAGCCAGCGTCATCAGGACAGCGCAATTCCGTTCGAGTGGTCAGCGTAACAAGCAATTATCGTAGGCGTGCCAGCGACCCTCTTATCAGGCAATTACGCAATTATCTCAAGAGGCGGCGTTCCCTCAATTATAACAGCGGCGACGACTAAGGCAATCTACGCAATCTATAACACATCCCAACTCTTTTGGGGTCAATTTTATGCTGGATTGCCGAATGTCAAACCTAGTATGCGGACGATATGGTTATCTTTGAGCTGCATGCAGCAGCTATGCAAGCGCTAATAAATAGGATGACACGTCGAGCCTCACGCTTCAGTATGTGCTTGACAGTATCCAAACTTAATTTACTACTGCGGTACTAGGCTAACTAAGCCACATTTCTCATTAGCAAGACAGTTATCGAACAGTTTACTTATCTGGCTACCTGTACCGCTTCTGGCGGTCATATTACCGAAGGGGTCACCGTATGCATCGGTAAGGCTCGTCAACTATCAAAATCCTCCGTCACTTGTAGAGACGGTAGGATGGAAGCGCGCTGGTTAAAGGATATATACGATACAATGTAGTGCGTCCAGTGTTAATGTTTGGACGTGAGACCTAGGTGACATGTGTAGGCGTCGTGGTCAAAATGAGCTTTGCACCCATCCAATCCGCTAGATCCGACGTGATTGGTTAAAATAAAGGGTTTTATTTAGCCAACACTAGTAAAATGTAGGAAAATCGGGGGCCACATAGTAATTTTCGCGCCAACAATCGTGGGCAAGCTCTAGCCATACGCGGGTGTGGCTATGGCTATGAGGAACTCGAAAAGCGCTCTGTGAACGTGGAGTTGTCTAAAGACGGTAAATTACGAGTATCTGGTGTCCATCTGGAGAATCGTGAAGAGAAGCGCAGAAGCCAGTGTTAAGACAACTAACACGGATGGACAATAAATACCACAAGAACTGTTTCATCAAAGAATTGGTTGTGTGTCGTGACCAGTCAAAGTACCATTGGAATACATCTACGTTTCGCATTGACAGTAGATGGAGAAAATTCAGGTGCTAAAAAGTGGTATATTTCAGTTGCGAAAAAAGACTAATTATCACAAATTGCTCATAAGTTTATGCTTAGCTGCATTTGACCATATAGGATTATTCAATACGCCACTTGAATATGGGATAGGAAAAGTTGGAGGGGGTAGTTTGTTGGAAACGCCGAAAATGTGGAAATAACAAGTGAAGGAGAAGTCCAACGACTGCGCCCACCAAGGCACCCAAGACGCAAGGGTATGGCCACACTTGCCAGGGACGATCCCAGTCCAAAATGAGGAGACCAGCGGAAGCCCATGTTCCGACGATCGTGCCATAACCAAGAAAGACCAGAAACCATTCGTGTGGCTCACTGCATGTAAAGGAACGGTCCAAATGATGAGGGAAACCATCAGCAGCGGCAATAATAATCTTGCCCAAACCTTTACTAGATGCATTGAAGGTAAGATGACAACTAAAAAAATTCCAAGTGAACTGACTGGGCTGCTACCTAGTTGGTGATTGAAATTTAGTGAACAGGATCAAGAGTTCTGAGCAAGTTGACAAAATGACATCGTAAGCCCGTGGATAAAGATGGAGCGCGTCATTACAGTTCAGGCTATCCAACGGACGTATATTCTTGGATTGTTTCACTTCTGTTTAATAAGGTTCAGACTCTGAGGACAGAAGAAGAGGATAAAAAGGCTGCTCAGAAAGAGGCAATGAGACAATTGCTAGATAGTGGGTACTTTAGACCCGTAGTCCCCAACCCCCGGGTCGCTACTGATCCGTGGATCAAATGGTACCGGGCCGTTCAAGAAACATCAAATTATTTCCATTTTACTTACTGTGTGTATTTCTCTCGGGATTGTTCGAGTTCTCATGGACGTGAGATTAACCGGGAGCTGAGCGGCAGTGGCATTGCAGCTTTGGTGAAGTGAACATGTGTATCGCTCTTCCTTCTGTTCACCAGTACTTTCAGATGTTTAACAGTGCTTGGTGTACGTGTATATTGTGTTTATTTTTGTCATTTTCCCGTCCAAATTTATAAGCTGAGTTCAATGATGTTTTATTTTCCAGGTCACATCTCGGTTACTTAAGTGCCCAAAGTTGACCCACAGATGAGCAAAAATGAGTACGGAACAGATTCGTTCGAAAATTTCCTTGGGAGAAAGAAAAGGCTCAGTGAAGAGACAGAAGAAGAGCCTACAACATCAACGACATATAAAACTTTTACCAGGCAATCGCATGAGTCCTACATGAAAGTGGATTTACCAAGACACATGATTCCCGTACACCAACCCCGCTCTGCATAGTTTGCGGCGACCGAATCTCGAGTGAGGGAATTAAACTTTCAAAACTGCTTCACTACTTGAACGCTAAGTACCTTGGATTAAAATACAAGCCCCGGAAGTGGATTGAAAGAAAAAACGGGAACACGAAGGACGGAAGAAATTTCTGGGGGCCATCACATCAATAAAGAAAAATGCACTGAGAGCATCATTTTTGGTGGCTAACCGTATTGCTAAGGCTAAAAAGCCATTCACAGTCGATGTAGAATTGATCTTGCCCTCCATTAAAGACATTTGCCGTGAACTTCTAGGAGAAACGGCTTTTAATAAAATAACACACGTACCTTGGTCGGCTAACATAGTGACTAAGCCAATTGAGAAAATAGCCGAAGACATTGAAACATAATTGTTGTAAAGGATTAATACATCAGGGTGGTACGCACTCCAGGTTGACGAATCTACGAATATCGATACCAAAGCAATACTACTTGTTTATGTGCGAGATCATTACCAGGAGGATGTGCATGAGGATTTGTTATGTGCACTAGCTTTGTCAACCAACACCACAGGAGCGGAACTGTTCGAAGCACTGGATGGTTATATATCAGGACAACTAAAATGGTCCTTTTGTGTCGGCATATGCACAAGCGGAGCTGCTGCCATGACCAGACGACTCTCGATTTAACTGCTAGGTTGCACTTGAATCTACCCATTGTATCATTCACAAGCCGAAAAATGTCACCAGAATTTAGCAGTGTATTGACTGATTTCGTTGAAGTTATTAACCATATCAAAGCACGCGCCTGTTTGATCAGCTTTGTAAAGAGATGGACGCAGAGCACAGATGTCTTCTGCTATACAGAGAAATAAGGATTATCCGGAGGAAAATCGCTAATCAGAGTATTTGAATTAGGCAAGCCATTGCAAAGGTTTCTTTCAGAAAAGGAGTCACCGCTGGCAGCAAATTTAAGTGACAAGTTATGGGTCACAAAACTGGCTTACCTATGTGACATTTTCAGCCTGTTCAATGAAATTAATCTATCTCTTCAGGGGAAAATAGCAACTGTTTTCAAGTTGACAAACAAAGTAGCTGCATTTAAAGCCAAACTGGGGTTGTGGGAACGGCACGTGAACAGAAGCATTTTTGAACTGTTTCAAACATTAGCGGGGATTTTAGGCGAGAGTAACCCTGAGCATTCGTCCTTCTAGTTGGTGCACGATCACGTGTCTTTGCTTTTAAAAGAGTTCGAGCGCTACTTCTCAACCATAAAAGACTGACGAACTGGTAAGGAATGAATCCACACACTAACCAGGCGCATCTAGCATATCTGTGAAGGAAGAAGAACAACTGCTGGAGAGTGCAAATGACAGCAGTCTTAAAACTACGATCGAGACAACAACTCTGCCGGTGTTCTGGATTAAAGTCATGGCGCATTACCCTCAGATTGCCACCACAGCACTTGAATCCCTATTGCCATTTCCGACATCCTATCTGTGTGAAGCGGGATTTTCTGCAGTGACAGTAACCAAAACAAACCATGGGAATAAACTAAACATAAGAAACAAACTTCGGGTATCATTGTCTCCTATTGCCCCTAGATGGAACAGTCCCGTTACAGAGAAACAAGTGCAAAGTTCTCACTCATTTAGCGTCCAAGTGAATAAATAGGTTAAATCGTTTTATATTCACTTTTTCGTGTAAATGTATCTTATATTTAAGGCATCGTTAAATATAAGTTAATAAAAATTATTAAATCAAAGCAATCTAGAGTATAAAAAATCAACACCCCCTCAGCGGGCCGCGGGAAAATTATCCAACGTTTACCGGTCGGTGGGGATAAAAAGGTTGGCGAACACTGCTCTAGACCACTAGTGAAATGCCAGTTTCATAAGGTTCAAATCCCACATCCGCGGCGTATAACGAAGTGGATTGGGACGCTAGAGATTCCTTGTAAAGAGGGAACCTAAGAGACCATCCAGAGGGTATCAAACAAAAAAGTGATTTTCTAGAAGGGTCAAGCGTTCCGTTCGACACTTGTGTCGTTGAAGAACTCGCTCCCCGCAGACAGGACGGCCAACTGCGCCTATAAAGTTAGTTGCATGGAACGTGCTCAGGTGTACATAGGCCGAAGCTATAGTGAGCTGCGCATGAGGTTGGCAGAACACAAGAGGTACATGTCAAGGCCACCGAGGAACGAGCTTGCATAGGGTTCTATTAATATATTCGGCGGTAGCGATGCACTAGATACAGGTCATAGAATCCACTTGGACAGCGCCAAGACCATAAGAAAGGGACTGCGACCAAGACCCCAAAGGTTAACGGTGGAGGCGATGGAAATCCTCAGTCAAAAGGTGTGTGGAGAGAACGGATGGTGTGGAGCTGCCAAATGCGTGGGGAGCTGTTCTAACCCGTCAAGTCTGATGTGCGTCATGGGACGGATTCAGGATGGAGAGAGAACATCAGACCCCCTCTTTCCCATCAACGGCAGGGACTTCCGTGTGATGATATCGTAACGTGAACAACTTGGGACTCAAAGTAGATGGAAATTGGGTATTGCCCACCCGAAAACACTGCACAGCCACGACGCGTTTCGATGTAATTTCATCTCATCAGGTGGAGACGGCAGGATTTGAACCCACGACCATTGGAATAGCAGCCCACACTACTACCCCTTTGGCTACCGGGTCACGATGGGCAATGCTTTTTGTCACAACGGTAGATGACTAGTTGGAGGGTCAAGTTTGGATTACACGTTGTGTGATTGGATTGCGACACGCAACCTCAATTTAATGGACTGTGATTCACATTGAAATGAACCTTAGTCACTGCGATCGCTGGGACCGTATTCAAAGTAGATGGAAATTGGGTATTACCCACCCGAAAACACTGCACAGCCACGACGCGTTTCCTATACATCCCACGCTAATGATGCACTGGTTAACCCGGTTTGTCGAACATCTCGTGTCAAAAGTGAAACGTTACCCATCAAAAGTGCTAACCCGGCCCGAAGCCTAAAGGTAACGAGCTTGTCTTGTAATCTAACGGCGCAAGGTTCGAGTCTGTGTAGAGACCGGGCGACCCTCGCAATATCCTTAGCCCACGTGCGACTGGCGGTGGTTGCGCGATAGCGAAGCGTCAGTACGGCGTACCGGTGTACTGCTGAGTGTTTTCAAGCCCTCCTGAAAACATATCTCAACGGGTTCCAAGCATATTTCATGAGGTTAAATAACCCAAGAGTAACGCAACTGGAATGTCAGTGCGCTTACAGTTCACTGTCTCACACAAATAAAGCAAAAGAACGAAAACTGCCTGTGTACATGGTCCACGAACTTACGAATCTAATTAGGGAAACAATACTAGATTAGTTACAATAGTAATAATAATAATGCGCATATTTCTAATCGAGTGAGAAACTGTGGCCATATTTGGCACAGATCGTAGTTTACAGAATATGTCATGCCCATGCATGAATGGTAAACAGATATGTGATTTTCACAGCTTTTGCTGTTTCAGCGGTTTGTATTAACTCACAGGTGTGTTTGAACGCAATGTACACTGGTTGGACTAGTGGATGGTAACAGCACTATGAGTGTGTCAGACAGTATGAAAACTTTTTGTTTCACTCATTAGATGTTGTCTGGCCCTTCTTGGTACAAATCATCAAGTGATCATCCGCAAGAGAATAGGGTCATAATCGTGTTCAAATCTAGATAATTGGTGAGCTTAACGCGAAAGGCCGTTGCGCTCTCACACGATCTGATTGTGACTGGGAGCTTGTTCCACAGGACAGTGTATCTGATAAGGAAAAAGTTAGACCGTAGATTTACCCTGCACCTGGGTACACTCAGGGTGAACTCCTTATCGCGTAGCTCCCTTGTAGAACTGTTGTAGTTCTAGGGAGGGCAAATAGCAGTGGGCGTTTTGATGGATCATGTTGTACAGAAGCATCAGATTATGTCTCAATCTTCGTAGCCAAATCGGATCGAGATGGAATTGTTGGCAGCGTTCCCGCTAGTTCTTGGTGGATGTATTGCCCAGCAGACGTTTGGTAAATGACCTTTGTATACTTTCCAGAGATAC